ACGAGCCTTTCTCTATTTACTTTTTGAGGGGTTTCTTGAAGTAACAGTCAAAACGAACCTTTCAGACGGGAGCTATTGGGTTAAAATGCTCTATGAAAATATTTCCCATGAAATTTTACTACATACGCCCTTAAATTTAATTTCACTCAGACATTCATTTTTACCATTTTTGCCATTTTTTTTGGAAACTATGTACTTAGGCAGGGACATTAAAACTTAAGTAGGCCATTAAATAAAAATACGAGCTAAGTCTTGCTGGGTTTTATTACTGGGTACATGCTGGTTTGAAAGGCCATAAAATTGTCGCACAGTTTATATACGGATAATAGAAATTCGTTATGAGCGACTTTTGAATCTTAGTACTAAGGCTGTGCTTCACCTCATTCATTTAAGATAAATGATTTTAATTTTCGAATTTTTGGTTTCAACAATCAATTTTCATTTGTTTTTAATTTAAATAAAGATTAAATCAGAATAACCACATTAAGAGATGTTACAAGTTTAATCAGCTGATCAATATACACACACCACAATATTGTGTATCAGCTGTTTCCTTGTATACCATCCCTGCTTTTACCACCACGTTTAGCACGGTGCTGCCATATTTTCACTCTGAAGAAAATTTAATTGAGAGTTAATTAACAGATTTAATTAAAATTAATTTCCATTTAAATGAGTTTGGTGAAGCGCAGCCAAAGGGCTAAGGGCAGGCGCCTCTTTTCACCTAAAATATTTGACAAGGAATTAAAATTGTAGATTTTTTGAACCAGTCTAATATACATACACTCCGTGTTAAAATTAAAAGCGCACCGCACATTGACAAAGTATGTATGTTCGACGATTCATTTTTAGGGAACAAAATTCGCAACACCTTTGATAAAAAAAAAATAAAATAAAAAATAAAATCAAGGGTAAGTCCTAGCTTCTTCAAACTTGCAGTTTATTATACTAAAATTGAATGGGCTACAAAACTGCATACCCAAAATCTTTCTCTAAAAAAAAGCTTAAAATTTTTACAAAGCTTGCTTTGACTTTTTCGTAATATTGCACAATAATTGAAACTTTGATTTATTCGGTTTTTGTTAAAGAATAAACAATATTTTATTAAAAAAACCAAAACCAAATAATAAAACAATAAATTGGTAGAACTTGTCAATATTAGGTGCGCTTATAACTTTGACACGGGGTGTACATGCTGAATCAAGTAGACACAAAGGCATACGTTTTTACTTATATCTACGCAACTCTGCACTTTACCCACACCCACATGTGCGAAATGGAGGCTGTATTAGATTATTTATACTTGGTACGTGGTACGTGGTACATAGGTATTTGCTATTTGATATATGCATATATGTATATATGTATATATGTATTTACGTATAACACTTAGTTTATATGAAATGGTTAAAGGTGGATGGCAAGAATCTGATTTTCTCTCTTAGAAAATGTCAAAGGAAAAACACAATACAAACAAGCGCATTTATTTGGATACATTTTGGTTTCTTTGTTTCATTGTTTGCTGGCGAATCTCGTATGTTTATTTAACTACTAAACAAACTCAACCGAATGCAACTAAAGTGTTTAATTTAAAATATTTACACATTTGCGAAATGTTGGAACATTACAAACGTCTGTATGTAACTAGGTGCATGCGTGCACGTGTATAGAATATAACTATTATAAGTACATACATATGTGTGTAACTGGTGCACACTCGCACTGACACGCTCAATTACACTTTTTATCATCACTCACACGTTTCACCCCCATAACCGTTGCTCACTACTCAAATATCAAAAAAGTTCACTTGGACAAAAATACGCATAAATTTACTTAGGCATTGTTGGGNAGAACATTACAAACGTCTGTATGTAACTAGGTGCATGCGTGCACGTGTATGGAATATAACTATTATAAGTACATACATATGTATATTTGTATGTATACATAAAGTAGGTGTACATTCTCACGTGTGTGTGTAACTGGTTCACACTCGCACTGACACGCTCAATTACACTTTTTATCATCACTCGACAAAAAACACGCACGTTTCACGCCCATAACCGTTGCTCACTACTCAAATATCAAAAATAAAAATAAAGTTCACTTGGACAAAAATACGCATAAATTTACTTAGGCATTGTTGGGTATATAAAAGCGTAGTATGTGTATATATATACATAGATATGTTTTATAAGTGTAGCACTCTCATGAATATACTATATATATATATATATATGTGTATATAAGCATTTCTTAACCACGACAACAACCATTAAATGTGAAATTACCTGATGTCCAGAGCATATCGAACCGTTGGGCGCCCGCACTCGAAATGGACTGTGAATTGGGCATGATGTACGCGGTCCCCAGCGTGAGGACCCAGGTGGTGCCTGCACCGATTGCATCGAATTAAAACTATTTGAACTACAAGGATTGAAGAGTGGTGGAGGCGGCACTGGTGGTGCTGGCGGTCCGATACTCAAACTACTCAGACCGCTTAGACTGCGACAGTGGCTGGGGCCCGCCATATGTGTATCACAACCTATGCCTATGCCACCGCTTAGGCTCATGCCGCCCAACGATATATGTGAGCCGAGTAAGCTGCTGTTGCTGTGCATTAAGGTGTTGCGACCGTCGCCGATACCGATACCCATACCGATGCCACCGACGCCGCCGCCACCGGACATCATCGATTGTGGCGGTTGTGGTGGTGGTGGCAGGCCCATCGGCATGCCACCGCCGGATCCATGATGACACATCGTGCCGCTGCAATAACCGCCTCCAACTGTGCCTGCGCCACCGATTCCAACTCCGCTGCCGCTGCCGCTGCCACCGCCACCGCACGATGTTGTCCCTGCCGCCGCTGCCGCCGCCGCTGCTGCTGCTGCAGCTGCAGCCGTCGCCGCTGCCGACGATAATGAGCATTGACTACAACCACCGCCGACTCCACTACTACTACTAACACCACCAATTCCAGCCGCCCCAACTCCAAGTACACTATTCACTGCGTGTGTTGTATCACTGCTGCTGCCGCAATAGTGATCCACGGCAAAACTATCTTGGCTACCAGAGCATTGTAGTCTGTGCGGTGGCGGTGGAGATGATTGCCTCGAGTAAATGTTTATTTAGTTCCTGCTAACGGCAAACTTGTTCGCACTCGTACTCGTATTCGTACCCGTTACGCGGGCAGTATACGGCTTAGCTTGTCACGGCACGTCACGTCGTTGCACACTTTTAGGCGTTGCAGTCAATAAACGTCAAAAACACACACAACGATTGCCTTTGCAACGTTCACTTTTTCTGTTGTAGGTAATCGTCACCGCCTCACGTCTCGTTAAAGTAACGTAACGTCAACGATCTACTCGTATCAGCCGTCAATGCTAAACGATTCTGGCCACCTTGTTGCGGTTGCTCCTCCACTTGAATAATTGATAGCAGCACCGAAAACTCCTGTTGCTATTGTCGCTGTAGCGTGAGCTGATGCTGATGCTGTTGCTGTTGCTGCTGCTGCTGTTGTTGTTGATGCTGTTTTTTCGCCTGAGAGAATGGCAACTGGTCGAGGGCGGTTACACTGTTGCTCCAGTTAGGCGTTATGTACGTCAACATCATCGCCAACGGATTAGTATAATCTCCTTTGGGCTCAACTTATTTTTATTTTACTTAGCAGCTTTTGTTCCGCCCTTTAGTTTGTTTGTATATGTACATATGTAGTAAGGTTACGAATCACAGAAAGACAACGAACGAACGAACGTACGAGACGTGGCTCAACGTTCAACACTCAGTTTCGCACACGTCTTAAGTAAGTATCAGCCCACTTTTTCCAGTTGATGTTCTGCTTGGTGCCGTGCCGATGTGTTGTTATGTTATGTTAGTACCAAACAGCCTGACTTTTTATGGTCGATGTTGTCGTCAGTCAGCCGATTCAGTGATTTCTTATTATGGGTCGGTAATCTTAACATGTACGAGTGTGTGTGCATGAATGTATATAACTATACATATTTACGATTTTGGTTGCTTGTTTTAGCTTTTTAGTTATCTTAGTTTTGTGTATACTATATGTATATGTAAGTAAGTAAGTAAGTAAGTAAGCATGTATGTATGTAAGTCAATCAATAACAACAATAACTACGCCTAATAATACAACAATTGAAAGGAGCACTATTGGTTCCAAACGTACGAACGAACCAACGAACGAACGGCATTCATGAATACGAATGAATACATATCTCTACACAAACTGAGAAGCGAGTACTGNATTTCGCACACGTATTAAGTAAGTATCAGCCCACTTTTTTCCAGTTGATATTCTGCTTGGTGCCGATGTGTTGTTGTGTTGTTATGTTAGTACCAAACAGCCTGACTTTTTATGGTCGATGTTGTCGTCAGTCAGCCGATTCAGTGATTTCTTGTTATGGGTCGGTAATCTTAACATGTACGAGTGTGTGTGCATGAATGTATATATCTATACATATTTACGATTTTGGTTGCTTGTTTTAGCTTTTTAGTTATCTTAGTTTTGTGTATACTACATGTATATGTAAGTAAGTAAGTAAGTAAGTAAGCATGTATGTATGTAAGTCAATCAATAACAACAATAACTACGCCTAATAATACAACAATTGAAAGGAGCACTATTGGTTCCAAACGTACGAACGAACCAACGAACGAACGGCATTCATGAATACGAATGAATACATATCTCTACACAAACTGAGAAGCGAGTACTGGGTATATCGGCTTTGGCACGCTTTGCTCTCGCGTACTTTATTTTTAGAGAATCGTCCGTTATAGGAATTTAGTTTCTTCTTTATGTTTCATTTGATATCTTTGGAAATGTGTGTTATTTGTTTAATTTTACGAGTATAGATTTTTCTTTTTATCAACGTACAAAGTACATGTTTTCCTACAACTTGTTGTTCTTATCGTATGTGTTTGTTGTTTTTTGCGATTTTTTTAGTAATTGATATCGGATTGTGCGCTACCTTTTTCAATACTTTTTTTTTTGTTTAAAATATTTTTATTTTGTTGTCTTGTTTAGAGTTTTGCATTAAAGGTTGTTAGCATCACATGTTCGAATTAGATATTTTTTGTTTAGTTTTAAAAGTTTATTAATTAACTTTTTTGTTTTTCTTTTTTTATATTTTCATACAAATAAATCTTGTAAGCATGCGTGTTCTGTAAGAAATGCAAAAACGAAAATTAAATTAGTTTTTTTTTATATAACTTTTTACAGAATTTTTGCGATTTTGAATTTAAAACCAAAGAAATTAAAATTTTGATTAAAAAAAAATAGCAACAAAGGCTAACTAAATTACAAAATAAAAAAAATACAATTCCGATGAAGAAGGCAACAGTAACTGAAAGCGCAGCGAACTATTTTAGCAGAAGATACTCGTAAATAGCAGATCTCAGTTCAAAGCAACTTACTCTAAGCTATTATCTACAAATCCAAAATAGATAAGTAGCATAAAATAATAATTACCAACATATAAATTTGTGCTATACTGAAATTGTGGTCTGTTCGCTTAAAACATAGAAAATATTTCGATTACATATAAATAATAAAAGCAACAAAAAATTTTAAATGTGAAACCAAAAGTTCACGCACGACACAACGCTAACTAATGCAAGATAGCTCATCCAGTCGAATTTTTCCGAATCTTTTCTCGTCACTCAGCAAAAAATCATGTGAATCCAAATGCCGGCATCCAACTGGGCATTACATAAAAACATTTTATTGACATACTCGGACATAGTGGGTAATTGTAAAAAACGCATGTCATTGCTAATGGAAATCTGGCAAAAGTAAGAAATCAGTAAACAAGTGAATGAGTTAATTTTCCCAAACACGCGGTCATATGAAAGAAAGAGCAGTAAATCCCTCTTAAACTTATGCCAAAAGTTGGTGCTAAGTAACAAAATACCGTTAGCACACATCCCCTTTTCATAGGCAAACGATTTGGTAACGAATCGAATAGTAACTCACTCAAATTAATCGTATTTTCGGCCGTTTGTTTAATGCCCGATCAACACAAATCGGAGGTTAAAGCGCCGGTTACATACAACGACTGCTTTATCGATCACATGTTATATGCATGATGTCGCAAATGTCGATAATGGTGTTCAACTGTGTGGTAGTGATAACCAGACATCGAACAACCGGACCTTAGTAGCACTGGATAATCACTCAAAAATATTTTTTCATACCAAACCTAGGTACTACAAAATTTTTTCAAAACCTAAACACTTTCATCAACCTAAATACATTTCAGGCGTGTAACCCAGTTTTTACTAAGAAGAAAACGAGCTACAAAACATACATACATACCTAATTTTTGCCTGTGTGAACGCCCCCAAGTACTTTGTATTAGACAGGAATTGTATAGCTTCAAAAGACGAGAAGATGATGAACGAAAAATATTCAGCCTCAGGAAGAGTTTTAAAGCTCATTAAATATAATAACGTCCGGCATGATTTTGAACGCATGAAAAACCAAGCATTTTCGGAAAGTAGAGACACAAAAGACCCGTATTCGAAAACTTAATAAAAACTTTCTTTTTCCCGACTTTCGTGAATGAGGTGTAGGGGAACAATCAGGTTGCATCTCCCAGCCGTAGTCAGTCATGATATGACGATCACATCGGCCTTGGTACCGGTCTTCCATAGTTTTAAGGTCCTGGTGAAAGAGCTTCCCATGCTCTTCGCTAAGTCATCCAAAATTCTCCGGGACTTTTGTCAAAATTACTGCTGACAAAGTGCACTTTGTTGAACATATTACATCCTAAGGATTTAAAGATCTACAGCATGTGGTTTACGATTTCAGAGTACTTGAGTTATAAATTTCCCAGAATATTTCCCTTAATCCATCTGTACATTGGTAGAAAAAATTGTCCAGCTTGATAAAAAAAAAAAAAACATGTATTTTTGCTCAGAAAATTATACTAATGTCATTGTTGGTTTGTTTCTCATTCATCGTCATCAAGATGGAAGAAGTATCGTTTTATAGAGAAAGAAATAATATAAATAATTGCAGTGGGATGTACTACCTACGCTGCGAAAAATCACTTTCCGTAAGCGGTTGTTAAATAACATGTGAGTATTAACTAGGGTGGTCTAAAAATGCATGTGAAAAAGTAAAGTTGAAATTTTTTATTGCTCTCACCCCCTAGGATTGTTCTATACCCAAAAAACTATACCCCTATTTTTTAATTTTGAAATCAAAAAGAGGTCACCCAAAGCGCTAAAAGTTTTCCATGTATTTTTATATGGGGAATTAACAACTTTTCGTAGAAACGGTATCCAATTATTGAAAATCAATATTTTTCGATCGGAAAACCCTGTTTCTCTTCATAAGATTCCTAAAGCTGGATTTACATTGCTCCAGAAAAAGCGCTCGTGTAAATGGTGATTCAAAAATTGCTTTCCTCAAAGTAGACAGCAAGTCAACTTTTGCAGGCGATTATCGCCTGTCAAAAAATCGCCTCATGTAAAGGCAGCTTAATAATATTACCCAATTATTTATTTAACAAATGTTTTCATAGCCACTATATCTGTGTTCATATGGAAAAGTAGCTTATGTCGAAAGGCTGGCTTTAGTATAATGCGGCATTTCCTTTATTCTTTAAACGACAAAGAATTTTTTGATGAGACTTAATAAGAATATTGACTTGCTAGTATCGGAGCTATTTCTTGTACATTTATTTGACAAAATATCTTCAACGGCTCAGCGCCAGTGAGTCATTCGCAATCGTATGCTGCGAATGCCGATTTATTCTAAAACCAGCCTTTCGACATAAGCTACTTTTCCATGCGAACACAGATATATTATAGGTCCG